AAATTCTCCTCACAGTTCCAAGGCAGAAAAGAGTGCTTGGGGTCACTCATAGATCAGAGCACAGGCCAGGAAAGGAGTAAACACCTCACCCTTATCATACCACCTTGGAAGAAATTAAAATTTACAGGTCCCTAGAAGTATCTCTGAAAACAGCTACACAAAACCCTTGATGCTTGGGACAGTACATTCTCCACACTGGAAGCAGACCCCTATCTTAACAAAGAATTTATAACATAAGTAATTGGCTGGGATCATGAGCAAACTATGCAAAAAAAAAAAAAGTCAGACCATAGAATCTTTCTTTGGTGATAAAGAAGGTCAAAACATACAACCAGAAGAAGACAACAAAGTCAAAGCTCCTACATCCAAAGTCTCCAAGAAAAATATGAATTGGTCTCAGGCCATGGAAGAGCTCAAAAAGGATTTTGAGAAGCAAGTAAGAGAAGTAGAGGAAAAACTGGGAAGAGAAATGAGAGTGATGCAAGAAAATCATGAAAAACAAGTCAACAGCTTGCTAAAGGAGACCCAAAAAAATACTGAAGAAAATAACACCTTAAAAAATAGCCTAACCCAAATGGCAAAAGAAGTTCAAAAAGCCAATAAGGAGAAGGATGCCCTAAAAAGCAAAATTGGCCAAATGGAAAAAGAAGTCCAAAAACTTACTGAAGAAAATACTTCCTTTAAAATTAGAATGGAGCAATTAGAAGCTAGTGACTTTATAAGAAATCAAGACACTGTAAAACAAAACCAAAAGAATGAAAAAATAGAAAACAATGTGAAATATTTCATTGGAAAAACAACTGACCTGGAAAATAGATCCAGGAGAGATGATTTAAAAATTATTGGACTATCTGAAAGCCATGATCAAAAAAAGAGCCTAGACATCATCTTTCAAGAAATTATCAAGGAAAACTGCCCTGATATTTTAGAACCAGAGGGCAAAATAGAAATTGAAAGAATCCACCAATCACCTCCTGAAAGAGATCCCCAAATGAAAATTCCTAGGAATGTTGTAGCCAAATTCCAGAGTTCCCAGGTCAAGGTGAAAATATTGCAAGCAGCCAGAAAGAAACAATTCAAGTATTGTGGAAACACAATCAGGATAACATAAGATTTAGCTGCTTCTACATTAAGGGACCGCAGGGCATGGAATATAATATTCTGGAGGGCAAAGGAGATAGGATTACAACCAAGAATCACCTACCCAGCAAAACTGAGTATAATCCTTCAGGGGAAAAAATGGACATTCAGTGAAATAGAGGACTTTCAAGCATTCTTGATGAAAAGACCAGAGCTGAAAAGAAAATTTGACTTTCAGATGCAAGACTCAAGTGAAACATGAAGAGGTAAACAGAAAAGAGAAATCATAAGAGACTTATTTACATTCCTGCATGGAAAGATGATATTTGTAACTCATGAGACCTTTGTCAGTAGTAGAGTAGTTGGAAGGAAAAAAATTATATGTGATAGATAGATAGATAGATAGATAGATAGAGGGCACAGGGTGAGTTGAAGATGAAGGGGTCATATCTGGAGAATAAAATTAAGGGGTGAGAGGATTATACTGGGAGAAGGAGAAAGGGAGAAGCAGAATGGGGTAACTTATCTCACATAAAACAGACAAGAAAAGACTTTTACAGTGGAGGTGAAATGGGGGAAGGTGAGAGGGAATAAGTGAATCTTATTCTCATTGGATTTGGCTTAAGGAGGGAATAACATACGCATTCAATTGGGTATGGAAATCTATCTTACCCAACAGGAAAATAGGGAGGGATGGGAACAAGAGAGCAGGAGGATGATAGAGGGGAGGGCAGATTAGGGGAGGGGTAATGAGAAGCAAACAGTTGTAAGGAAGGACAGGGTCAAAAGAGAGAACAGAATAAATGGGGGGCGGGATAGGATGAAGGGAAATATACTTAGTTTTTCACAACATGACTATATGGAAGTGTTTTGCATAACTTCACATGTATAACATGTATCAAATTGCTTGCCTTCTGAATGAGGGTAGGTGGGGAGGGAGAAAGGGAGAAAATTTGGAACCCAAAGTTTTAAAAACAAATGTTAAAAAAAATGTTTTCACATGCAACTGGGAAATAAGATGTACAGGCAATGGAATATAGAAATCTATCCTGCCCTACAGAAAAATTGAAGGGGAAGGGGAGAAGAGAAAGGGGGGCAGAGATAGAAGGGAGGGCAGATTAGGGGAAGGGGTATTCAGAATGCATGCCATTTTGGGGTGGGGGAGGGATGAGATGGGGAGAAAATTTGGAATTCAAAATCTTGTGGAAGTGAATGTTGAAAACTACAAATAAATTAATGAATTAAAAAAAAAAAAGAAAAGAAATCTGCTTCAGATAACACATTCTGTTGGACAAACATCCATTTAGATGCATGTTGAAATCCTGGCAACAGACATCCTTCATCCACTTAGTCTTTCCTGTGTAGATGGTAAAGCCAACCTTCTCTTAGAGATTAAGCATCAGTCCCAGAGTCTCTGCAATGCCTTGGAGGCCGATGAGGACAACATAATTTAATTCACCAACAAAAGGACCTCAACTCTCCACAGAATCCCCCAGCACCGCGGGGGTTACTTTTGGCAATCACACATCTCCTGGTTTTATGCCATAGCCAATGTTTACAATCAGAGGGTCACCGAATAGAGGTATTTCTGTGGTTACATCTATTGAGCAACCTCAAAATCTGATCCTGATGTAGGGATGCTGGGAAAGAGCTGTCAGGCCATCACGTATTCACTGGAGTTCTGATCTTTCTTTCTTTCTGGCTAGGCAATGGGGTTAAGTGACATGCCCAGGGTCACACAGTTAGTAAGTGTCTCCATCTGGATTTGAACTCAGATCTTTCTAACTCCAGGGCCAATGCTCTATCTACTGTACCACCTAGCCGCCCCAGAATAATGCTTTTAAATACGTAAAATAAAACACATAGGATTACAAAGAAAACCAGCTGTACTGAAATATAGTAATCAAAAAATTTGTAAACAATAGCTAACTTTTAGCCAGGCACTGTGCTAAGCACTTTACAATTATTATCTCATTCAATCCTCACAACAACCCTGGGGGGTAGGTGTTGTTATTATCCCCATTTTACAGGTGGGGAGTGTGAGGCAAATAGAGATTAAGTGACTTGTCCAGGGTCACACAACTAATAAGTGTCTGAGGCCAGATTTGAACTCAAGTCTTCTTGATTTCAGGCTCAAGGCTCTATCTACTATGCTTGGAGCTGGTTCACAAAGCCCAGATTAAGAACTCCTAGCCTATATCAGATTACTTACCATCTCAGGGAGGGAGGGATGGAGGGATAGAATTTGGAACTCAAAACTTAAAAAAAAAAAGCAAATGTTAAAAATTGTTTTAACATTTAATTGGGGAAGAAATAAAATATTATTTTAAAAAACCAACCCCTAGCTTAGAAAGTCTTATCGAGTTCTTCATAGAATTTCTTAGCAGCCGATGTTGGTACATAATGTGCAATTATTTCCATGACGGCCTTTTTGCAAACACTTGTCATTAGTACTGCAGCAAGTGAGGAGCCATGGGCCATGAAGTAAGATTCTTGACCGCTTTGGGGCATATGTAAAACCCATTCCCCCAGCTCCTTTCTTTGCCTCTTTAGGTAGCACCTGGGAGCCAGCCTTCCATGAGCTGGAATTCCCTTCTTTCTTCTGCTTTCATTTATAGCAAGAATATCCAGATTGCTATCATGCAGCACCTCCATGGGGCATTCAACAAGGATCTCACTCTTACGAGGACCAACCGTCACAGGGAAGCTGGTGGAGGGACCAAGAACTGTGGGATTCTCTGCACCTTTTCCTGCTCCTCTGCCCACATAGCTATCGAGGAAGCAGGCGTGGCGCCATTTTACAGTTTTATGTTTCATGACCTTTCAACACCAGGTGGTCAGCCTGTTAGAGATGACTTCTGGCTAAACAAATGTTTGTTGAATTAAATTGTAGATGGAATCCAGACTCTACCTACTATCTGGATGACCTTGGGCACATCCTATCACCTTTTAAGATCTTAGTTTCCTTCTCTGTAAAATAATGAGGTTGGACCGTATAATCTCTTAAGGGTAGTAATTGCAAAGAGTAAGTTAGGCTGATGTAAGGGCAATTTCTCAAGCCGACAGTGCTGTCCCAAAGCATCATGGGTGGCCTTGGGGTGGCTGGTTCCCCTCATGGGAGGTTTCCCAGCAAGGGCTAGATGACCCATGTTGGCTTTGGGTCACCCAAGGTTTCAGTTCAGGTCCAGGTTGGACTAGGTAGTCTCTGAGTTTCCTTAGGGTTTTCAGCCTTATGTCCTACCCCACCTTCCACCCCATGGTTCTGCTGCTCAGCTAGCCTCTAGCTAGGTGACACAGTGGATAGAGTGCCGGGCCTGAAGTCAGGAAGGCTCATCTTCCTAAGTTCAAATCTGGCCTCAGACACTTCCTAGCTGCGGGACCCTGGGCAAGTCACTTCACCCTGTTTGCCTCAGTTTCCTCATCTGTAAAATGAGCTAGAGAAGGAAACGGCAAGCCACTCCAGTATCTTGGTCAAGAAAACCCCGTTGGGGTCAGGATGAGTTGGACATGACAGAAAAACAACCGAACACAACACTGAGAAGGCTTCTTGGACTCTACCAAGTCTACGTTTGGCCTCGAAGTGCTAAGAAATGGAGATTTCCAGTGGATTGAAACTCCGGACAAAATAAGCCAGTCCAAACACTCTGACTACAGTATCTTGGCACACCAGCTCCGTAGAACAGGGTCAATAGCCGGCTTCTCCCTCCCTCTCTGTAAGGGTGGGAGGGCACTGTCCGCTTCTCAGCACTGACCCTGAGTAACCACATCCCACAACCCAGTGGGATCCTTCGGTTCGGCCAACACAGAGATGGACCCAAACAAACTGATGACTTGAAAACCGTCGAGATCTTGGGACGCGTACACGCCACAGCCGGCTCGAGGCTCTGAACCCAAGTCAAGTAGCACAGAAAGAAAGGGAATTAAGTTAAAAAATTAAATTTATAAATATTTTTCCACTGTACAAAGTTTTCACAGCCCTGCCCACCCTGGTATTATTCACATTTTTTGTGTTTTAAAATCCCAACCATATTTATTTATTTTTTAAAATCATAAAATATATTTTTTCTTTGTTCATATTTAAAAATATTTACAGGGGAGAGGGAAGATGCAGGCCCAGGTGGTGGGGCCGAGGTCAGGAGGAGTCCGTGCAGGGCGAGGGCGGGGGTGGGAAGAGGTGGAAGTAACTGCGCTCAGTGGCTGGTGACGGTGGGCAGCTCTCTTCCGCTGACAGGTACTGGCTGTGGGGAGTGGGCGGGGGTGGGTAGGGGTCCGAGTCTGAGTTCAGATCCATGTAGTATTTGCTGGCCTTCCATCGACCGGTGGTGCAGTCGCTGTCACACACGTCTGTGCTGCACGGCGTCGTGGGCGGCGCGATCCCTCTGATGATGTACGGTCTGGAAAGGGAAGAGGGAAAACAAAGACGTTGGTGCCAGGAGGCCAGTGTCCACTTGTCCAGGAAATGAGGCAGGCCCAGGCGCCTTGAGCTGGGGCAGCTGGTATGCCTAGGCCGGGTCTGGACCCTGGAGGATACAAGTAGAAGAGAGCCCTGGGACCTGGAGTCCAAAGACTCAGGGTTACTCCCAGCTCGACGACTAGTTCAAGGCACTATATCTGTATGAGTCTCAGTTTCCTCTTGTGTAAAATGGGGACATTCCTACTTAGAGCCACTTAACTCACGAGATTTCCGTGAGTGCTTTACGGACCTTAAAGCACTATAAAAATGTGAGTGACCTGAGTTCAAATCCTGCATTTGACAATTATGATCCACATGACCGGGCAAATCATTTCACCTCCTCTGTACAATGAGGACACGGAACAAGATGGCGCCCGACGCCTCCTGCGGCATCACCGTCATTGAGCAGTAGCCAATTATTACAACTCTTAACAAGGTCCAGGCCTTCCTGAGGAGGCGGGGCCCTTTGCTGTACCCAGTCCCTCACAGCCTGGGGTCTTGTCCAGCTCTTCCCAGTGCTCCCTGGGGCTGGAGTCCGCCCTGGAGCCCCAGGTCTCCCGGCTGGATTCCCAAACTGGGTGCCTGCCATCTGCTGAGGCTGTTCTCAGGGTTGGCCACAAGGGGGCACAAGACCTCTGTACTGGACAGCTCCCCGGCTGGGAAATCCTGCAGATTCTAGGAGTGGGCTGGCAGCTGGGCCAACCTCCCCCTCCCTCCTGGCCACTACTGCCCCAGCCCTGTGGGCCGGGCTTGGCAATGAACAGAAAGCCACGCCCGCCCCCTCCATGCACACTAAGTGTTGGATGGGGACTGACTTAATCCTGCGGAATAGCCACCCTCTGCTAGAGGCCCTGCAGGCAGAGGACCCGGCTTTAATCCCACCCTGACCGCTCATTAGGTGTATGTAGGATCCTGAGCATGCCACTTAAAACTCCCTGGGCCTAAGTTTCCTCATCTGTAAAAGGGGGATTAGATGTCCTCTGAGGTTCTGTCCAGCCCAGATCCATGATCCTATTACCTCAACAATCTGATTTGAGGATTCATCCATGAACTAGGAACCAGGAACCTGGGTTCAGGCCCGTGGCCATCGCCATCGTTAACTTACTGAGTGGCCTCGAGCAGATCAATGGTCTCATCTCCCTCCTGCGTGCCGCGGGGGACCCCTACGCCATCGCCTGGCAGGCGGACGGGGGCGGGGGGAAATCCACGTACCTGTAAGATCTCGTGGTCGAAGGAATGTTTGAAGAGTAGAACATCTCTGTGTTGTACAAAGAGCGGTCAGTGGCAGGAGAAGGGGGAGGGTTCAGGATCTGGGGAGGGAGAGGACGAGAGCTCAGCACCTCACACACTCATTCTCATTCCCCCGCTTCCCTCCTGCCCGCAGCTGGGCAGCGCTGTCTCCTGCTATGAGTCACCCAGATCCCAGGAGGCTGCAGAGGAGGCTTTGACCCGGGAGTCACACGCGGACTGCCAGCCGTGTCGCGTGCCGTTCCCAGAGATGGAAGCCCGAGCTCCCCAAGTCTTCGTCAGTAAGAATCGTCAATCCGAAAAGCCCTCCACAGAAGTGACTGCAGTCCACGGCCCAATCATAATTTGGGATTATAGATTTAGAGTTCATCTGGTCCAGGGGTTCTTAATCCCTCGGGGGGGTCTATAGATACATTTCAGGGGATCCATGAACTTGGATGGGAAAAATATTATGTGTTAATTTTCATTGACCTTTCCTGAAATTTAGCATTTCCTTCAATTATGATTTTTTTTTAAAACTCAGAGCATCATTTGAAGAAGGCATCCATAGGATCCACTAGTCTGCCCCAGACCCACAACCACCACATTCATTTTAGAGATGAAGAAACTGAAGGCTAGAAAGGTTAATGACTTGGTTACGGTCACACAGGCAGCGGGTGTCAGAGCTGAGATTCAAGGCCAGGACTTTAGACTCCAAGTCCTGCCTGGGGCTCCAAGGGGTCACCAGGGCTGCTCGACCCAGAGCTAGCACTCTGGCTAGGTGCCTGGCACTGATGCTTCCTACCTAGATACACTTGGGACAGTCACTAACCTCCCTGGGCCTCAGTTTCTACATCTGTGAAAGACGACTTCTGAGGTCTCTTCCTGGTCTAACCTGAATTTTGATTGAGCTAATCAATCAATCACTATACATTTATTAAGAGGACGCTCACTGTGTATTGAGCACAGTATATACTAAGAACTAGGGACACAGAGACAGAGCAAAATAAAAATAAGCCTTGCCCATGAACAGCTTCCACTCTTCTGAAGAAACAACATGCCTGTACATCTCCCTAAGCAGTTATGAACAGACACAAAGTCAATACTTCAGTTGTCGTCCTTTGAAGAGGACCATGACATCAGGGAGGTGAGGCCATGACGTGCGAGCGAGCTGGGTTTAACCCAGGGAGGGCTGTGCAAAGTCAAGTCACCGGCCTCACTTGGTCCTCCAGAGCCCTCTGGGTCCAGTGGCCAGACAGAGATCAGGATGATTGGAGATGGTTATCGGGCCGCTAGGTGACGCCACAGTGCATGGAGCACTGGGCCTGGACTCAGGAAGATTCATCTTCATGAGTTCAAATCTAGACTCAGACACTTCCTAACTGTGTAATCCTGGCAAGTCACTTTACCCTGTTTGCCTCAGTTTCCTCATCTGTAAAATGAGCTGGAGAAGGAAATGGCAAACCACTCCAGGAGCTTTGCCAAGAAAACTCTCAATGGGGTCATGAAGAGTCAGACACAACTGAAAAATGACTAATACTTAAGTTGGTTTGGGAAGGGAGAGAATGCTCTCGGAGCTGGGCAGGGGTGGTCCATGGCTTCACGCAGAAGGGAGCGCTTGAGCTGAGTATTGAAGAAAACCAGGGATTCCAAAAGGCACAGATGAGGAGGAAGTACATTCCAGGCATGGGGGACAGCCTGTGCCAAAGCACGGAGATGAGAAATGGTGTTTTATACGTGATGGAAGCCCAAGAAGGCCCATCTGGCTGAACTGTGGAGTGTACAGAAGAGAGCAATGTGGAATGAGCTTGGAAAAGCAAGTTAGACGGAGGCTGTGACAGAGTCAGGATTTGAACCCGCGCCTTCCTAGACGCCAGGTCAGCATTCTATCCGCTGTACCACTCGGACATTCAGTTTTGTGGCTGGGTTGAAACAGAATGTGACCCGACCAGCCTTCTCTCCTAATTTGTTGAAAAACTGAGGCCATTCGCTGTGAGCGCCTCCTTCTCTCCTCATCTCCCAGCGCTCCATGCAGTCAGCCGTCATCTTCTCCTTCACCCCCTCTCAGACGAAGAGGTGGCCCGCCTCCTCACCAAGGCCAACCATCTACTGCACAAGTGACCCCAGCTTGTCCGGCCTCCTCCCACAGGCTGCCCCCGTTGGCTTCTCCGCTCTCTCACTTATCCTCATTCTCTCCCAGTCTACTGACTCCTTTCCTGCTGCCTACAGAGGAGACTGAGGAGAAGCAGTCAGAGAGGGAGGAGGAGAACCGAGAGAGAGAGGGGTAGAAGTGTCCCCAAAACCCAGAGAGAAGAGAGTGTGGCGGAGGAGACAGGGGTTCGCAGAGAGGTCAAGGAGAACGAGGACTGAGAAAAGCCACTGGGGTTGGCCATCGGCAATGCCCACATCTCCCCCATCCTCCAAACGCCTCCCCGATCCCTCCCTGCCCACTAGCTGTCATCCCATCCCACAGTCTGCTCCCTCGCGTGGCTGTGTGGCCTGAGGCCATCCACAAGGCTTGCACTTCCTGCCCTCCCACTGTCTTCTTAACGCAACAGCTGCCCTCCGTCCTCCTCAGCCAAGTGAAGCTGTTCTCTCCAAAGCTATCAGTCACCTCTCAGCTGCCCAATCCAATGGGCTCTTCTCAACCCTCGGCCTTCTTGACCTCTCTGCGGCCTCGGACACTGCTGATGCCCCTTCTGGACTCCACTCTCTCCTGGTTCTCCTCCTCCCTCTCTGACCACTCCTTCTCAGTCTCTTTTGTCGAATCTTCTTCTAGGTCACCCCCGCTGAAGGTGAGTGTCTTCCAGGGCTTTGGGCTAAGTCTTCTTCTCTTCTCCTTCTACATTTTTTCACTTGGTGATCTCATAGGCTTCCATGCTCCCGTTAATCAGCCTCAGTGGCTCTTTCAGGATTAAAAAGGAAATTCTCTGTTTGGCATTCAAAGCCTTCAAAACCTGCCCCCTCAAAAACTGGAACACTAATGCATTGTTGGTGGAGTTGTGAATTGATCCAACCATTCTGGAGAGCAATTTGGAACTATGCCCAAAGGGCTATAAAAATGATCCAGTGATCCAGTGATACACCTTCTACGTCTGTATCCCAAAGAGATCATAAAAATAGGAAAAGGACCCACACGTACAAAATATTCATAGCGGCTCTTTCTGCAGTGGCAAAGAATTGGAAATTGGGAGGATGCCCATCCGTTGGGGAATGGCTGAAGTTGCGGTATATGAAAGTAATGGACTGCTATTGTGCTATAAGAAAGGAGGAGCGGGCAGACTTCAGAAAAACCTGGAAAGACTTGTATGGACTGATGCTGAGTGAAGTGAGCAGCACCAGGAGAACGTTGTACACAGTAACAGCCACACTGTGCGATGACCAGCTTTGATAGGCTTAGTTCTCAGCAATACAATGGTCCAAGACAATTCCAAAAGATTAATGATGGAAAATGCTAACCATACCCAGAGAAGGAACTACGGAGTCTCAATGCAGATCGAAGCATCCTGTTTTCTCTTTTTTCCCCCTTCTCATGGTTTTTCCCTTTTGTTCTGATTCTTCTTTCACAACATGACTAATGTGGAAATACGTTTAATATGGTTGTACACATATGACCTATATCAGATTACTGGCTGTCTTGGAGAGGGGGGACGGAGAAGGAGGGAGAAAAAAATTTGCAACTCAAAATCTTTTAAAAGTGAATGTTGAAAACTATCTTTACGTGTAATTGAGAAAAAATTCTATTAAGTAGTGAAAAACCCCTTCCCCCTCACCCTTCCTGCCTTCTCCCCACGCGCTCGCCGGTCCTTGCACAGGACACGCCATCTCCTGATTGCAGCCATTCCACAGGTGTCCTCCTGTGCCTGGAATCATCTCCTTCCCATCTCTGCCCACTGGCTTCCCTGGCTTGCTTCAAGCCTCAGCTACAGTTCCACTTGTATGAGGCCCCTTTCCTGCCTCCCTGCCTTAATGTCTTCCCTCCGTTCACTCTCTCCAACGTGGCCTGGATGAAACTTGTTTGCACATAGCTTCCTGCTCGCTGTCTCCCCAGCGAGACTGAGAGCTCCTGGAGGGCAGGGACTGGCTTTTGCCTTGTTTGCATCCCCAGAGCTTAGCACAGTGCTTGGAACGCAGTAGGTGCTTAATGAATCCTTACTGACTGACCAACATCTCCATGCTCTTCCCACCGAAGAGGTAACACACATCACTGCCATTCCTGTAGCACCACTCAACAGACATGATCTCATTTAATCAGATGACAGACCTAGACCAGTCATGGTTTTCAAAGCCAGTCTGCAAGGGTGGCCACCTACAAAGCTCGGCATACAGTAGGCATTTAATAAATGCTTGTTGACTGAAAGGAAGCATCCTCTCCTGGGTCTCCTGTGTCCTGGATGAGGTCTGGTGTTTAGTGCTCTCTTGATTTCGTGACCTAAAACATTTATTCTGATGAGCAGCAAAAACACAGACCTCACACCACTGTCTTATCCAAATCTCTCATGTCAATGAATGCCGGTTCCCCAAATCTAACTGTGGATTGTCTGAGGTAATGGACGGACCAGATGATGGGAATGATGGAAAACCAAAGCTTATCAAAAATCCTAAATCTAGCTGGTTTCCAAGCAAGAGTTTGGGCCCGTCCTCCATGGTCTCCACTGGCCTGGTGGAGTTGATGTGAATTCCAACAGGCTGCCACTCCCTCAGGGGAGGGAGGCCTCAGGCCCAGAGAGGCTGAACTCAGGGAACTTTTCTGGGTCCAGAATCCTGAGCGTCCACTGGAATCCAGGAGGCTGTAGTAGAGATGGAAAGGCCAGGACTAGAAAGCAGGGGACGCGAGCGGAAGAAAGTCCAAGAGAGAACAAAGGCCGTCCCCGTCAGTCCCAGCGTTTCCTGTTAGCCGTGGCCTGGGATCCGGCCCGCGTGCTCGAGATCTCCGTCAGCGTCTGCTTCCCTCGGATCAGCCCCCCGGCCAGCATCAACAAGGGCCCTTTGGATCTCGACACACTCCCACCCATTGTGTCCACAACGGTCACCTCCTTTGGAGGGGGCAGCAGTTTGGGGACCAAGCCTCCTCTGCCTCTGGGAAGCCAAGGCCCAGCTCAAGCGTCCGAGCCCGCTTTCTGTGCCACATCCACTTCCTGGCCATTGAATAGTAGCGGAGTGGCGCCAGAGCTGTGAGAACACCGCGTCTGATGAAGGGAAGGGGAGGGCCTGGTTCAGGACCCCAGCAGGTCGGTGGCCAGAGGCAGCACTGGAAGCCAGGAATGATCCAACACACGAACACTTCTGGTCTCCCCGGCGCTGGGGGCCGTCCTTTCTCCTCCCATCTGTACCTCCTGCGGCCCAGCACGCAGGCCTGGCAGACCCATCATACTGGCTGGGTGACCTGGGCGAGGCACCATAGTTGCTAGTGCGGTCTCTGACTTCACACGGTCTCGATCCCACCCTCTCCCCCCACCCCCTCAGCAAAGGAGAAGCTTCTGGAAAGCAGCAAGATCGAGTCACTCCTGTGTCAGTGCCAAGAACCGTCCTCTGCACCTGATGCAGATTTGGCCAATGCTTGTGAATCAAACTGAATAGTGGAGGTTGTAGTTTGGTGACAAGACGGCTGGACGGAAAAGTCGGAAGATTGGGGTTCACGCCCTGGCTTTGAGAGGACAAAGGGAAGGAGGAAAAGGAGGAAAGAGAATGAAAATACAGAACACAAAGGAAGAAGGAAAAGGCAGAAAAGAAAAGAAAAGAAGGAAAGAAAGAAAGAGGCGCTCAAGGGGAGAGGCTTTGCCCTTAACACCAATGACGGCGCTTTGGGTTTCTGTCTCTGTTGTCTCCCCTTCTGGGAAGTGGAGGCAGGGAGGCCCTGAGAAGAGGCTGCCACCCCAGCTCTGCGGCCCCTCCCTGCACTCACCTGTGGGTATAAAGTGGCTTTAGTGCTGGACGAGCTGCTGGACGAGGCCCCGGTGACGTGGTTCCGATCGTAGATGGGCAGGCCGCTGCTGCCCCCCATGAGGCTCATGGAGCTGATCATGGACTTGCCACAGGAGATACCTGTGGAGGGACATGGGAGGGGGGTGAGCGGGGGCTCCTGTGCTGCCAGGCGGGACAGGACAGGGGTCTGCATCACCAAGGAGACCCTGGAAAGCCCAGAATCTCCGAGCTGGAGGGATGCCAAAGGTCATCAAGACCGGCCCATCCTGACCGCCACTCGTCTTGACAGTCAGGTCTCCAGACCTGGCAGGATGACCTCCGGTGGGGCGGGCCCTGGAACTTCTGAGGCCGCCGGCCTACTCCCCTTTCGGACAGCTCTCCTTGCTTCAGCTTTCTTCCTGAGCCTACATTTCTCTCTCTGCAGCCTCCACCCATTGCTCCTAATTCTTACTTCTTTTTTTTTCTTTTGGTGAGGCAATGGGGGTCAAGTGACTGGCCCAGGGTCACACAGCTAGTGAGTATCATGTGTCTGAGGCCGGATTTGAATTCAGGTCCTCCTGACTCCTGGGCCGGTGCTCTATCCACTGCGCCACCTAGCTGCCCCCTAATTCTCACTTCCATCTTCCACATGGCAGCCCATTGGAAACTTGAAGACAGTTAATGCCAGGCTAATATTCCCAGTTCCCTCAACTGATTCCCATAAGGGATGAGCTCAAGGCCTTTCACACCATCCTGTCCTCTTTCCTTTGGACACTTTCCAGCTGACTGCTCTTCCTAAAATACGCCACCCAAACAGCAGACAAGACTCCAAGAATGGTCACCGCCCCCCACCCCACGCACTGAGCCATGGCAGGTGGCACGTATGGCATTTACCATGCTGCCATCTTTCTGGGCTCCATTATCACCACTGGATTGCATCCCATATTCCACAACATTAAACAAAATGGTGTTCCTATCCCCCTGCCGCCATCCAAAGACCGTGGAAAGTTGGGTCGGTCTCAATAACAGCACTAATAGTAACACCAGTTGACATTCATTCGATCTATAGATTTCAGGTAAAAAGAGCGTCTTATGTACATCTTCTCATCCCTACCTGTAAAGGTGCCATGCTGAGAACTGCCAGGGGCTATGAAATTGAGGGGGACGTGAGGGGTGCCACTGACGTACTCGTGGGGGAACGGCCCACTGGCCCCTGCGTATCGCTGGCAGATCACTCGCTGGCAAACAAAATACATCCCTCCCATCACAAAGAGGGAGAGGATGATCCCGATGACGGGGCCGATGGCGTTACTGTGGGAGGGTGGGTCATCCGAAGGGGGCTTTGTGATTTCTGCCAAGAGAAAGACAGGAACAGTCAATGATACTTCAACAGCAATGGCGTCATCTTGGGTATGGAAAGATGGAATACCGCTGGCCCGCCACTATGGAAAGTCTGGAGCCCAGGGCTCAGCTTAGGCACTTGTCCTTCTCTATATTATTTATTTCAATGAATCGATCATTAGAGAGGCCTATAGTGGGGTAGCTAGAGAGGGGGCCTTGGAGCCAGGAAGACCTGCATTCCAATCTTCTCTTCTGCCATGTTATGGCAGGTCATACCCTTGATACCCCTGGGCAGGTCATCTACCAGGCAAAGCCTCTTAGACGGTTCTCTAAGGCTGTTAAGCTACCAAGCAGGTGCCCATCTGCATTGGCAGGATCAGGACCATGAAATCATAGGTCCAGATCTAATCTAAGCAGTCCATCACGGAATCTGAGAGTTGGAAGGGCCCCTCACACTCCAATCCACACCCAAAAGGAATCCCCATTATAACATACCTGACAAACAGAATCCCCACTAAATGAACATGACAATTGACCTCCGTGCTTTAATTAAGCACCACCCCCATGAGCCAGGCACTGTGCTCTAAGTGCTAGATGGGGACCTGACCGTCTACACATCATCATAAACAAAATCCAGAGGTTCCCCTCCTTGGCATCCTCTCCAAAAGACCCCGAGTTCCCACTTGCTATACTCCAGCCTTTGTGGCCGGATGCAGGCGGAGTAGGGAGGCAGCAGGGACACACGGACTTTCCCTGAGTGACGCAGCCTAGAGGTGGGTTGAGCTGGGTAATGACCGGCTTCATGAGCCCAAGAAGCACCGGTTTGAGTGCAGGATCCCTCCCGGACCCGACTAGGGCCTCCCTCTCCGGCAACAAGGGGTTGTATTATTGGAGAGGCAGAGGGATGTGTCACCAGAGACATTATGGAGCTGTCCTCTCAGTTCTGTCTTTCACAGACAACGGCACCAGCCACCCATCTGGTCTTCCTGCCCCCAGCATCTTTCTTTCATGCCCACCCCCCACGTTCCAGGAAAAGCTCATCCCTGTGGAGATTGCTCCAGCTCTGGTACTCACATTGGAGGGCTGGAAGGTGGAGCAAAAAATGCTTCCCAAAGCCTCCGGGTACAGCCCAGCCAGCTCTTCACTGCCCACCAGCTGCTGTGCTCAGTTTCATCTCCGCCCACCACAGCCCTGCACCAGGCACCCTCTCCTGCTTCTGCTTTTCATCCTCCTTTTGGGTACTGTCTTCTCCCACTAGATTGTAAGGGCCTTGAGGGCAGGGACTGTCTTTTTCATATTTGTGCCCCCAAGGCTTAGCACTATACCTGGCACACAGTAGGCACTAAAAAATGTCTATTGGACTGGATTGTAAGGGCATTGGCCAAGGTCACACAGGTAGCCAGGGTTAGCGCCAGTCGACTCCAGGGTGCCCCCTGCCCCTTCCGCTGCCCCCTCCCCCACTCACCACACAAGAGCTCGTCAGAACCGTCCATGCAGTCGGGGAAGGAGTCACACTGCTGCTTGATGAGGATACACTGGCCGCTGGCACAGCGGAACTGGTTGGGCAGGCAGATGGCTGGTGGGAAGAAAGCCAAGATGAGTAAGTCAGCCTCGGCCTGACAACCCCGCACCCGCTATCGAGGGACGACGCCTCTGTCCTGAACACCTTGGGGTCTGTAAATGCTCAGTGAGCTACAGACTTCCATTGCGTCAATCAATAAACATTATTAACCACTGTGGGTGTGCTCAGTGTAGGGGAGCCTGCAACGGGCATGGGCCCTGTCCTCACGGAGCTTACAGTCCATTCGCGCACGAGGGAAGCGGACGGGGTGGTCTCTGCCAGGTCCGATGGCCTCTCCCCCTCCGCACCTTTCTAAACCTCTACGGCCTTTGACCCTGCTGATCACCCTCTCCTTCCCCAGACTCTTCTCTCTAGGCCCTTGTGACATCGCTCTCTCCAGGTTCTCCTCCTACCCAGCTGACCGCTCCTTTGCACCTACATCCAAGTTACACCCACTGATGCAGGAGCACCCCACGGGCCAGAGATGGGTGAAGGCAGACGCCAAAGGTGGACGTGCAGCCCCGAAAACGGCAGCCCTCACACCAGAGGGGCTCGTCCTCCCAGAGTGGCCCTTGGACCTTTCAAAAAGGCTAAATGACCTCGGGCTGGCTGAGCCCAAGGTCAGACACACTCCAGCAGACGTCCTAGGCCAGGCGGGAGTGCAAAGACTGCCCAAGCAACCCCTGCATTGCATAGAGCCCCTGAGGAAAAGAGGCCCTTTCACTGACACAAAATGATCTTGTTTATAGGTTTTTAAAAGAGGATTTGGGGGGTGGGGTGGGGCAACTAGGTGGCGCAGTGGATAGAGCTCCGGCTTTGGAGTCAGGAGGACCTGAGTTCAAATCCGGCCTCAGACACTTGTCACTTACTAGCTGTGTGACCCTGGGCAAGTCACTTAACCCCAATCATCTCACCAAAACCAAGCAAACAAAAAACAAAAAAACAAAAAAAAAGCAAAAAAAGGGGATTTGGGATAGAGCATGAGGCCCCTTTCAGAAACTCTAGCTTCCTGACTCAATTTTTAAATTATAAAGACAGGTGTGCCTATGGCCAGCTGGGACAAAAGGGAGAGATGAGATGGAGCGGAGGTCCGTCTAGCAGGAGAGGGGGCCGACAAAGGAACTTGGGGGAGGCCGCGGGAGGCGAGGGGGGAGGGTGGAAGGCTTTGCAAGCGTGGACGTGGGGGCAGGCCTCCGGTGCCCAGGTGCTGGCGACAGCAGAAGGGAAGAGGGGGGAAGGCTCACAGCTACTCGGGGACGTCCCATCTGGCAAATGCCGGACGCCGCTTCCCCGCCAACGGCTTCCTTTTCTTCCTACTGTCAAGATTTTATGAGGAAAAAGAGACAACGCCCTTGGCGGGTCCACGCCTCAGTTCCTGCTCTGCCAGACTGGGGTGGATGCCATGGTCCCCGTGACCTAAGTCAACGTCCAGAGCCCTCTGGAACGGCGCAGAGATCACAGACTTAGGGTTCAAAGGGGCCTCAGGAACCACTGAGCACAATTCTCTTTTACCGGTGAGAAGACCGAGGTTCAGAGCATCACACTCCTCACTCCGCCATCCCGTTCCCTGACTGCAGAAGATGGAGAGGAAACGTTCTGAGAGCCAGGGACCCAGCCCTGGAGGCTGAGGAGCCAGGATGAAAGGCTAGGAACCGGCCACACCTTTCCTCCTCGGCTTCTGGATCTTCCGCCGCCGGGCACCAGGGAGGAGGGAAGTGCAGAGGGCGGGTGCCGGGGGGGGCATGTTTCTGAAATATCTCAGCAGGGAAAATGTGGGGGGTTGGGACAGGAGAGTCAGGACTTGGGCTGTGTGAATCTGGAATACCTTTGGGCGAGGCCCGTGGATTATAAGCCACGCCTGCCCAAGACTTCTGGGCTCCTGCTGGGCAAACTTAGAGAAGGCACTGAGTGTCTCGCCCAGGGTCACAGCAGGACCTGAACCTGGGGCTTCTGGACTCAGCAGCCAGCTCTCCCGACCATCCCACCACATGCTCCTTCTGGAGCAGACATTGTCAGCAACCGCTGTGGCTGGAAGAACGTCACCAGCCGACGCCCAGTACCCGCGGTGCCAAGCAAGAAGAGGGCACCGAGGGTCCTCTTCTGACCCTCCCAGCGGCACCCACGGCAATGCTGTCCTTCTCCAAGAACTTCGAACACCTCTCCGAAGCTGCTTTCTCGAACCTAAGTGTCACGGGCCACCTGGCCATGCTGCTTCCCTGCTCATGAACCTTCAGCGGCTGCCTACCGCCCAGAGGACACAAAGCGACCCCCTCGGCCGGGCATCTCCTCGGACTCTCATTTCATTTAGACTCCCCCTTTCATACGCTCTCCATTCCCGCCCAACTGGAGATCTCGCCGCTTCCTGAATTCAGGATTCCATCTCCCACCGCCAAGCCTCGCTAAGGCTGCCTGGCTGTCCCAAGGCTGACAAGCCCTCCCTCCTGCCTCAGAACTCCTTCGGGGCCCGAGTGATGAGTCACCTCCTGGACGTCCTTCCTGAGTCCCCCAGCCCTCAGTGCCTCCTTCCTTGGCAAGAACGAAGGCTTCCTGAGGGCGTTTTGGTGCTCAGCCCCTACCGCACGCCGGGCACGCAGAGGGCGCTCAGAAAAGACTGGTGGGATTGGGTTCTAAGCGGCCCGGTGGGAACTGTCCCGAGGCCCCCCCAGGCCCCCGCTGTCATGAGACGTCACCGTACCGTCGCAGTCCGCTTCATCAGACTTGTCCTGGCAGTCGATCTCTCCGTTGCACCGCCAGCGCAGGTCAATGCACTGGCCCTTCTCACACTGGAACTGGGAGGCCGAGCACAGCGGGCAGTTCGCCTCGTCGCTGTGATCGTCGCACTCTGGGAAGCCGTCGCACCTCCAGGCCATCGGGATGCAGTCGATCTCCCCGGTGGCGCACGTGAACTGGTCCGGGGAACACGTCGGGGGCTCTAGGGAAAAGACACCAAGGAAGCCCATGGTCGGGCGGCCAGCCCGTCTCACGTGGCCCTCTTGAATAGCTGACCTTACTCTTCCTGTGCACATAAATGTGGATATGCGCACAGAACACACGGGCATGTACATGGATATGTGCGTATGTACAGAGACACACACATAAAAGAGTCTGGGTTTGTGATTTCATTAGTAAAGGAGACGCCTCCGACGCAGGGAGGCACCTTCTCTGCCACGTATTGTCTTGCCTGGCATTAAGTACCTTGCCCAGGGTCACGCAGCTAGTAGGGATCTGAAACGGGATTTGAACTCAGGTCTTCCTGACTCGAGGATTAGCTGAAGAGACTAGAGCTGTTTGATGGGAGAAGAAAAGGCTCAGGGTGGGGACCCGATGGCCATTTCAGTGTATTGGAAGGACCTTCCCTCGGAAGAGAGAGGGCAGAGTGAGGAGCAGAGAGACAGCGAGGTTTCAGATCAATGGCAGGAAAACCGTCCTAACCAACGGAGCCGTCCCGAGGCATGACGGGCTCCTGGGGAGGCACTGCGTCCTCCCTGACTTGGGGTCACTGGCACAGTGGAGGCTGCGTGCTGGGGACGTGAAGGGCTGACTTAGACTATTCACACTGAGCCCGGCACACACACACACACACACGCACGCACGCACGCACACACACACATGCACACACACACACGCGCACACACGCACGCACGCACGCACACACACATGCACACACACGTGCGCACACACACGCGCGCACACGCGCACACACACGCGCACACATGCACGCACACACGCGCGCACACGCACGCACACACACGCACGCACACACACACGCACACACACACACACGCACACACACACACACTCACACACACGAGCCCCACTGGATCTCTCAGATCTTGCTGAGATCTGGAAGGGTTCATAGGATCCCTGATGTGGAGGTCACCGAGCGCCACCACCTCATTTTACAGATGAGGAAACTGAGGCACGGCGAGGTCCAATGACAACGAGGGAGGTTCAAGGAGGCAGCCAGCCTCACCAGCGTCCTTAGAAGGGAAGTAAAATGACCCGGGACCTACCTCCACACGTCAAGAGGTTCTGTAACAGGACCAGGTGGACGGGGCAGGAGCACCTCGGGGTGCCATCGCCTTTGGCGATACAGATGTGGGAGCAGCCTCCGTTGTCTCGGGAGCAGGGATGAGCAGCTGTAGAAAGGACACGGCCCAAGACGTGCTCAGGGGAGCGTCCTTCCTGACCCTGGGCGCGTGGCCAGAGAAGTCCCGCGGCCAAGGAGCCAGGGCAGAACGTCCCCCGCTAGACGAGGTGCCCGTCTGGTCCGGCGGTGTCTGCGGGGACCCCTCCACGTCCCACCTCCCCCGCGAGGGGGCGTAACGGCGAGAACGCCGGACTGGAAATCAGGAAGTCGAGAGCTGCAGACACTAGCTGTGTGACCTGGGCAAGTCACCTGACTAACCTCTCTGCCCCTCAGTTTCCTGATCTGTAAAATGGAGACAATGATAGCATCTCCCTCCCAGGGATGTTGTGAAGATTAAATGAGGTAACAGCTATAATGCACTTGGCAGGCCTCACAGTGTCACGTATACGCGTGCTGTTCTCAAGTCTCAGCGCTAAGCCTGGAAGTCAGCCCATGACCCCGTTTCTCTTATAAGGTTGGTAGTATATTATTTTGGGGCAGCAGGTGGCGCCACAGAGGACAGAGAGCTGAGCCTGGAGTCAGGAGTTCAAACCCAGCCTCAGACACTTCCTAGCTGTGCGACCTTGGGCAAGTCACGTCACTCCGTTTGCCTCAGTTTCCCCATCTGTCAAATGAGCCAGAGAAGGAAATGGCAAACCCCTCCAGCATCTCTGCCAAGAAAACCCCCAACGGGGCCACAAAGAGTCGGATGTGACTGAAAAATGACCGAGCAACAACCCGGTGTATTATTATTATTACAATTTTACACATGAGAAGCTAGTAAGAGTAACGATGATAGCCAGCATTCCTGGAGCGTTCCAAGGTCCACAAAGCACTTTACATCCTTTCTATCGCTCGAGCCTCACGACAATCGGGTGAGCAGGGTGTGACCGCCAACCCCAAGCGAGGAAACCAAGGCAGACTGAGGAGAAGTGGCTTGCCCAGGGCTACACAGCTGGGCACTAACGTCTGAGGCTGGATTTGAACTCGGGCCCAGCGCTCTATCTCTCATGCCACCAGCTGCCTTTGGGAGTGAGCAGAAACCAGGTGACCGTGGGATGCACATCAGTAACGGACCTGAAGGGTCGTCTCGTTCAAACTCCTTGTTTTACAGATGAAGAAACTGAGGCCCCGAGAAAGGAAAGCCCATCCCACCCCCCCCCCAGGCAGCAAACATTTGCTGGTCAGCACTGACTCCAAGGTAGACGCTGTGCTAAGGGGGGGGGGATACAGGGAAGAAACAAAATACTTTCTACCTTCCAGAAGGGGATGCTCTATTAAGAGAAAGACAAGAGGAAATGAATACAAGTGATACAAAGTAGCGCCCCAAGGGTACAACCAGGAGGATCCAGAGGGGCTTCCTGCAGGAGGTGTCCCCTAAGCTGTGCCTTACAGGAAGCCAGGGAGTCTAGCAGGTGGAGCCGATGCCCAGCGAGGGTGGGCATCCATCTGGGCAAAGGTAGATGCCAGAGACAGAATGAGTGCGGCAGCTGGACAAATAGCTCGTCCAGGGCTGTGGGGCAGCCCCCAGACCTGAATGGAGGCCCTTGATTTCCCTAAAAAGGGCGAAAAGAGAGGCCTGGAGCCATGGGCTCCATGGCTGGGGCCATCTCACCGAACTCGTCCATGTCGATCTCTTCCACCGCGTGGATCCCCGTGAGGTGAGAGATCCGGCCCTGGATCCGGGTCCTTTTGTAGCCACTGGTCTTCTCTACCCGCTCAATCATCTGCTGCTGACGGTCAATCCAGTAGAGGTGGTTGCCCAGCACCGTCAGGCCCATGGGCTGCACGATGTTGGAATCCTCCAGAGTCACCCGGTTTGCTCCTGGAAGAGACGGGAGGTCACAGAGGGAGGGGCTCCGGCAGGGACGGGCGGACCCCAGCCTGGCCGGGGGTCTGGAGCTTGGCTTTGCCCCGCTCCTAAACTACGGGTCTGAAGGGCAGCCGGGGAAAGGCAGTGCCCTATACGTCGTGACTGGCACGGCAGAGGGCATCCTAGGCAGCTGGGGATGCCAACGCTTGGCCAACCAACCAACAATCCTTGATTAAGAACTTGTTACGTGCTGGGGAAGCAAGCTCAGAGGTGAGACGGTGCTCGCCAGTGTCTGCGTCCTACTGGAATGATCATAATGTCCCGATGAAAGACACAGGTTGTCCACGGGTTCCCCTCAGCCCCACCGGGAGGCGGATTTAGAAAGTAATAATGGGAGGAGCGTTTGCCAAAGGCGGATGCGGACCCAGGTCCTCCCGGCTTCTAAGTCGGTTCTCTGCCCACGCATCACACCGCCTCCAATAATAACAAGGATGGTGATGGCAAGGACGTGGCATCTCATTTTATTCCCATGACAGGAGGGGCACTATGGAGGCTCAGAGGGGTCATGTGCCCACAGGGCTGGTGGGTACTGACCAGGAGGCTTGAGGAGCTTGCCTCAATTTTCAGGGATGACAGAAGAGGGGCACCCCAGCTTCAAGCTCCCAAGAGATTCTAAGATGCTTGGAAGCACCCCTAAAGAAGGAGGGGCCTTTTCTTCAGTGTCCCCCAGGTAAGATCCCTGCAGTCCTCAGGCAGCTTAGAAACGTTCTGGAGTTTGGGGATTGGGTATATATAGCCGGCCACCCTCGTGGGCACTGACCCTGAGCTTCGGGGGGAAACTTGACCATTGTTCAAAGCCTACATTCCAAGCACGACTGACAGCCCCACCCCGGTCATCCGCCCCAAAGCTGACACCCTGGGCCAGCCGAGATGCCCCTGCACTGAAGAAGACCAGCCAGACGGCCGCTGGCACCAGGCAGGACCAACCCAACCCGAGAGGGCCGCTGCAGGATGGCACTTACCTGACAAATCGCAGCTCTCGATGCGCTTCAGGTCAGCGTCCACCCAAAAGAGTCTGCCTAGCTTATTGTCAACGACCAGAGCCACCGGCCGGATGAGGCCGGTGGTGAACAGCACTTCCCGCTCGGTGCCGTCCAGGGCCGCCCGCTCAATCTTGGCAGCGCGGTCCTGCATGTTGGTGAAGTACAGGTACCTGCCAAGGACAGGCGTGCAGGCCGTGAGCGAGGGCGGCCGACGGAGATCTCCCCCACCCCAGCCGAGCCAGCCTTAGCAAGGTCAGGGAACTCATTCAGAAGAATGAGACAGAAGCCTTCTGACAGCAGGGACCGTGTCATTTCTCATCGTTGGAACTCCAGAGGGTATCTCTGAAGACCATCTGACCCAGCATCTAAATGGCACTGGCCCTGGAGGACGGGGTCCTGAGTTCAAATTCTATCTGGCACTATTGAAGTAAGTCACTCTGCCTCCCTGGGCCTCAGTTTCCTCAACTGTAAAATGAAAGGGGTGGAGCTTGTCGGCCCAAGGCCTCTTCCCGATTCAGATCTATGATAACAAAATTTTACAGATGAGGAAACTGAGGCCCAGAGAAGTGGCAGAGCCAGGGGTCTAACTTGGGTCCTCTTTTCACGGCGTAACGCCAAAATCCAATTCAATAGGAGGAATTATTATAGAAACCGGGGTGGGAGGTGGCAGTTAGAGATGCTGTCTTCAAATATCTCTCCCTCAGTCATTTTCAGTCATTTCCAACCCTCTGTGACCCCACCGGGGTTTTCTGGTGAAGATACTGCAGCAGTTTGCCGTTTCCTTCTCCAGCTCATTTTACAGATGAGGAAACTGAGGCAAAGAGGGTGAAGTGACTTACTCAGGGTCACACAGATAATAAGCATCTGAGGCCAGATTTGAACTCAGAAAGATGAGTCTTCCTGACCCCAGGCCCTGCGCTCTACGCACTACGGCGCCACCTAGCTGCTCTAGGGCTCTTATATGTGGGGGCAGGGTAGGAGGACAATTATTTTGAAATAGGACCGGTGAGTGGGACATTGAAGAAAGACAGATTCTGGCTCCAAAGAAGAATCTCTTAAAGATGAAAGGCGTCCAATAATGGAGAAGGCCAGCTTGTGAGGTAGTGAGATCCTCATCACTGGAAGTATTAATAAATCCTTCTCAAAGATGCCTTCAAGGGGATTCCTATGCCAGGTGGGACGCTAGAGTGGATGGCCTATTATAAGACCCCTCCCAGCTCTAAAACAGTCATCTTGGAATTGGTCAGGAGAGCTCAGCATAATATTCCTTTCAAATTTCTTGGTCGGGGAGTGTGATACACTCAGCCGCCGCTCAGGTCTGCCAAGACATCGAGAGCCTAGGATTCCATCAGCCTGGGCACTCATCCACTAAGGGAGAGCGCTGCCCAACTATAACTTAACGCCTTCAAGAGGCATGTGAAGCTCAGAGGGGACATGATCTGCCCAAGGTCACACAGCTAGTAACTCTACTTGGGGGCCTGAACCGTGATGGAGTAGTTTAATAAGTTTCAGAGGTGGGGTTGGAACCCGTGCCCTCCTAACTCCAAATCCAGTATGGTGTCCTCAGGGGGCCACTGCTTCATTACCTACAGACATGGAACTAAAAATAAGACTTGATCTCAACTAGATTAGCTGCTTTCATGTGGACGGTGCCTCGTGGCTCGCAACAGGTTTCAGAGGCATTATTTCAGTCGACCTTCCCAACAATACTGAGCAGAAGGTACTGCTACTTTCCAAGCCATCACTGGCTTGAAGAAGAAACTGAGACTTGCAGGTGAGAAATGATTTCCCTGAGTGCATGCGCCTCCTAACATCAGCTGACATTTCTAGGGTGCTTTAAGGTGCGCACATTTTCTCCTCTGACCCTCGCACGCACCACCCTCCTGTGAAGGGTGGTATGCTCGCCCTTCTTTGCGGAGGAGGAAGCTGCGTGCTCCACGGCTGAGAAGCGCCCGAGGTGGGGTTCGAGCCCAGCACCCTCCACTACGCCCTGAGACAAGTAAGGAAACGGACGGGGCTCGTTCTGACTCTCCTCCGCGCCATCCCGGCCGCTGGTCCCTCACCCGCGCTCGGCGTTCACCACGATGGCTCTGGGCTTGTCGTGGTCCCCACGCAGCACCACGCCGATGGCCTCCCCGCTCAGCCGGTGCACGTTGATGGTGTTGGTGGCCTCGCACGTCCAGTACAGGGCGTGGCTGTAAATGTCGATGCTGAGATCGTGCGGCTGCTTTTCCGAGTTCTGGCCTTGGTTTGCAGAAGTCACAACAAAGGGCTGCAACACGGAACCAGATGGAAGTTCAGCTGTCAGTCATTTTAATGGGGACATCCTCAACTGTGCGCTCCCTGGGGGCGGGGCACTGCGCTTTCTCTAAATTTTGTATTCACGCCCAGCCTGGTGCTCTGTGGACAGGTAAGTGCCTGGTATACAGCGGGCGCTTCACAGTCACTCGTTGACTTATTCAGCTCAGGAAGCAGTGAGTACCTAATAGGTGGTAGGCATTAAGGATATAAACCACGCACAAGCACTCTCAACAGTGTCTGATCTCAGGGAGCTCGCACTCTTCTGGGGGGAGGATGTGAAATGGCCAGCCAACGGAGAGTGAACGTTGAGTCCAGAAAGTCAAATTAGCCAGCCGATCTGGGTCCAAACCCTACCTCTGAGGCTGACTAGTCCTGAGACCACAGGCAAGTCGTTTCACCTCTCTCGGCCTCGGTTTCTCCATCTGTTACATGGAGATAACAACCTCGCAGAGTTGTTGTGAGGACCAAATGAAATAAAGTATAGAAAGAACTCTCAAACTTTCCTTCCTTCCTCCCATCCGCCTGGTGCCCCCCCCCACTTCCAAGTGCTCATCACGTTGGCTCCAGCCTTAGTGTGGGCATCCAATTGGCATGGCCCAGTGCAGCTCAGGACTCCTGGGCTCACATGACCTCCCCCCGCAGGCTCCCTGGTAGCTGAGGTTATAGGCGTGGGTCACCACTCTCAGCGCCATGTGCAAATCTTAGAGCATCACATAAATGTGAGCTGTTATTATCGTCATGGGGATCTGGCCAATGAGGGCCTACTGGCCAACCCTTTCCTTCACCGTGGAGTGAGTGGACTGGCAATAATCAGGGAATACCCGCTGTAGAGGACAGCCTGGTTCCTCCATTCTGCATCATCTTGGATTTCAGGGAGCAGATACCCTACGGCTCCATATGGGCTGGCGGCAGGCAGAGCCCCCAGGACGTGCTCGGAGAACTGGGCTCTCTTACACTGTATTTTGGAGTGGAACCGATTTCATTGGTAGAGACAGTTCCCTATGAGGGAACAGCTTCAATCAATGCAGACCAGCACCCTCTCTACTGCGTACAGTGTTAGAGCTGTTTGTGGCCACGGTGACAAGACAAGTGACCTGCCCAGGGTCACACAGTCAATATGTATAAAGGTGGTCTTCCAGATGCAGCCTGGTGCTGCCATGAGGAGGTGGTCATCCACTGGGGAATGGCAGAACATACTATGGGGTATGAATGCAACGGATTACTCTTGTGCTCAATGAAATGACGCCGCGAAGAGTTTCAGAGAAACCTGGGAAGATTTATATGAACTGATACAAAGTGAAGCGAGCAGAACCAGGACGATCATTTCTACAACAGCAACAATGTAATAAAGTTCAACAACTCTGAAAGACTTTGGAACTCTGATCCGCTCAATGACCAAGCATGATTCCAAAGACTCATGATCAAGCATGCTGCCCACCCGACTGGGAGTGATTGATGCAGGGTGCAATGTTTTGGGGACATTTCGGGGCAAAGTAAGTGATAGGACTAGATCTCCAAGTAGGGACTTTATCTGACGTAACAACAAAGAATACGCCTCCCTCCCCAGTAACTGTAAACTTGATCCAACTATCGAATTATCCTTCAACCACAGGAGAAGGACTTTGCCCCTAATGAAGCAAGACTGCTTCCAGGCTTTCATCATTACAAGGATTTGGGGTGAATAGAGAAAGGTAATTTCCCAAATGGCTCAGGTGGCACTTGAAAGTCTCCTAAAGCCTCTCTTTTGAGCTGTTTGCAGCCTGCAGCCAGCCTGTCACAGCAGAACTGCCTGCTTCCAGAGCCCTTCAGGCAATGTACACCCCACGCTTTCTGCTTTCACTGCGGGGAAGCACCCATCCAACAATTAGCACTTTCTGCCCTTCCAACGCCCAGGGCAAAGGTCCTCTCTGAGCCCGCCCCGGTCCCTATCAATGAAGATCAAAGCACTCCCTGTCCCACATAGTTACAGACCCCGTGAGCTCCCTGCTCTCTGACGCAGAAGAGTCACGACCATTGGGGTCAGCCCCAAAGGCTCATCATGGCAGAGGCAGAGGCAGAATGAGGGTGCGGGCTTGGGACTGGGTGAAGAGGTCTGCAGGTGGGCATTGTGACCGCAAAGACAAATGCTTATTAAGCAAGGTTAACTAGCTTTAATTCTGCACTTAGTCACCCACTGATAACCGGTCCTAGGGCTGTGATTAGTTACTGTAGACAACACCAATGGGGCCAGGATGATATTCTGACATTCACAGAGGACATTAGGGGTGCCACAGGGCACAGAGCGCTGGATCTGGAGTCAGCAACTCCTGAGTTTGAATCCAGTCTCAGATACTTACTAGCTGTTTGACCCTGGACAAGTCACTTAACCTCTATCTGCCTTACATTTCCCATCGGCAAAATAGGGATAATAGCACCTATTTCCCAGGGTGGTTGTGAGAATCAATAAGTTAGTATTTGTAAGGCATTGGGCAAATCTTAAACTGCTCTATAAATGCCAGCTAGCAGCAGCCTCATAAACGTCATCTTCGTCCTCCTCCTCCTCACTGCACAAAAACTGGGATTCGGGCTCCTGGGAGGACAGGTGTGCAAACCTGTGCTGATGTCGCACACCCGCTCCCCACCCCCGTATCCGAGAAGCAGACTTGCCTGGGTCCCGTCGTCTTTGGCCCTTTTAATGTTCTGACGCCCGTCCACCCAGTAGATGAACTTGTCCAGTGGGTCGTAATCGATGGCTTTGACGTTCCGCAAGCCGTGCAGCGGGAGGACCACGTCCGGGCTTTGCTGGTCATCTGGTATCATTCGGCTGATGGCACACTTCTGACTAAACAGCAGGAAGGCGGTGGGTGCTGAATGAAGGGGCCAGAAAAGGCAAAAGGAGAAGTCTGGTGAGAAAAGCCAGGCTGGCGGGCGCGTGTCCTACACTGGGGACACCAGGCAAGGCTCCAGCTCAGGTCAAGATATTAAAAACGACATGGATGCCAAGAAGAAACCCTCCTGTCCTTAATGCCAACTCCAGTAATGTCTTCTGGTTGCTTTGACCTCACCCGAGAGAAGACTTCTTTCATCCTTCAAACCAACAGCTCCTATTCTCAGCTCTAGGACTAGGTGATTTGTTTTTCAGCCTGAGATACTTTGAGCTGCCTCTGAGCTAAAATGCACCATCGCCCCCAAACTACTCTTGATTCCCCACCTAGACTCTGGGAATCCCATTACTGGCTTGGGAGGCTGAGGTTTGAATGATGGCGCCTGGTGGGGAAAGGCTTGTTTGGATTAACGGTCACGTCTTCAGAATTCTAACCTGCTCTCAAACACTCAGGGGAGAACAATTTAGATTTGGCCTAGTCCTGGAAACTTTCAGAATAAAAAAATTCAGGAGACAAATGGGACCACCCCCAGTTGTCCAGGATGGTTTCTCATTCAGTTTGGCTGACTCTGACAGACATTTATTAAGAGACTACTGTAGGCGAGGCACCTGGGACACGGGGAGGAAATAAGATGGAGTGCCTGCCTGCCTTCAGGGAGCTGACAATCTCTTAAATAACCACCCAAATAATTATAATGCGCATACACGAAATTCTATCTCCTGCCTTCACGCCTTGGCATGGGCTGCCCTCAATTGGACGACTCCTCTTCTTCCTGGAATCCTCAATTCCTTTCAAGGGTCGACTCGGGCGTCCCCTCCTATAGGCGGCCTTTCCCGACTCCTCTGTCTCCCAAAATTACTTTGCGTTTATTTTTTCAACATATACCATACTAAATCAAATGTAAGCTCCTGGCGGGCAAACACTACTTTCTTTTTGTCTGTGTTCCCAGTGCCCAGCATAGTGCCTGACACACAGTAGGTGCCTAATCACTGAACTGAATGGCTCAGCCCATTGGTTGACTCAAGAATCAAAACGCCATCCCTTAAGTGGACAGGAGGCCAATAGCCCTCCCCCTCCCCCTCCCCCAGGCCTGGGGGTAACTCTTGGTGAGATTGGACAGAAGGGGGTCCAAGGCACATACAGCTGCAGTTCCTGTGGTTGGGATCCAGTGTATAATGGGTCGCGCATCCGCATCTGTAACCATTGGGGATGGCCAGGCACAGCTGCCCACAGTGTCCGTTGTTTTGTATGCAATCATTCAGACCATCCTGGCGGGAAGAGTGGAAGACCAGGATGTCCATGACAAAGTCCAAGTGGCCCTGAATCAGGGTCCGGTTTTTGCCATTGACCTTATCGGCTCTCTCGATGCTGTGGAGATTCCAATCGGTCCAATAGATGTAGTCACTGTACTGTGTGAGTCCAAAGGGGTGTGGGAGGTCATCGGCAATGATGACCCTTTCTTGACCTGGAGGCGTAAAGGACGTCGTGTTAGCGGTCAGAGCAGAAGGAAGGAAATGCACACAGCAATAGGCAAAGACCCCCCAACAGTCAGAGGGGGTCAAGAAGGAAATGGGCTACGTCTGGAGGTTCTGGTTCACCCTCTTGGGAGGGTGGCCCACCCTCCCTGGCCCACAGTAAGGGTACAGTGTTAGTTATTATTATCATTATTGTTAGTAAGCACTGGACCTGGAATCAGGAAGACCTGAGTTTACTGGCAGTCTCAGACATTGTGTGACCCTGGGCAGGTCAGAAATATAAGGGCTGAGCCGGCTCCACCGCTAGGTGGCCATGGACAGGGCAGTGCCCACTCTGGGCCTCCCCTTCCTCACCTGTGAATGTGCAGTAGAAAGTACAGTGGGGCTGGTATGAGACCTGGGCAGAGACACATCGTCACCTCCAATGGTCAGCTGCGTCTCCTCTGTCCCTTGCTGGCTGGTGACCCAGGCAAAGTGCTTCACCTCCCTAGCACTCAATTCCCTCATCTGCAAAATGAGACCCTTGGGCCAGACTACAGGATTATGTTATCTAAGAATCTGACCTGCCATAGACCTTAGGGACCACTCAGTCCAGCCCTTATATTTTCGAGATGTAAAAGCCCCAGGAAAGTGGAGGAGACCCATCCAAGTGACCTCAGAGCTCTCTCCTAGTTCTAAATCTTAACATCCTAACATGAAGGCAGATCTCAGGTCAGATCTCTGAGGTCACTGTCCAGAGGTGAGATCTCGAGGTCACTGTCCAGAGGTGAGATCTCTGAGGTCACTGTCCAGAGGGTCAGATCTCTGAGGTCACTG